ATCCCTCCAATGGACATCCTACATCAAGCTATTCTTGAATGGGATATTTTTCACGAAGGCAATGATCCGCCCAACGGAATTCGGTGTTCGGAGGTGTCCAATTCATACACAGATCCTAGAGAGTACAAGGAGACATTTTTGCCACTCCTAGTCAATGAAGCTTGGAGAGCGTTTGTAACCGCCAAGGATGAAGCGACGTCGAAGCCATATGGTATCAAAGTCCTGAACCGGATGAACGTTGACAAGTTCGTCGAAGTCAGCAGTTCAATGCCCAGAGCAGAAAACAAGGACAGGTTCCTATCCGAAGGAGACATTGTTGTGTTGTCGCATGCATCAGATCCATTGGGGGACAGGGATGAGCTTCATTGCCTTGCCCGAATCTGGCGCACCCAGTTCAAGAACAACAGTCTAGAAATCCAGTACCGTTTGAGCAGTCGTGCTGGCCCAATACTTTCGACTCTGATGCCTCAGGCAGAGCTTTATGCAGTCAAGATAACTAACATGACTACGATCGAGCGTGAGTATGCATCTCTCGAAAGTCTTCAGTTCTACGACCTCGCGCCGGAAGTCTTAGAGGCCAAGCCTTCGCCAATGCTCCCGTTTGGCCCGGAAGCCGTTGAAAATGTTATGAAGAACTATCAACTCAATCCGGGTCAGGCAAAGGCAATCCTGAATGCTAAGGAGAATGATGCTTTCACTTTAGTTCAAGGGCCACCGGGAACAGGCAAAACGAAAACGATTGTCGCTATGGTTGGCGCACTGCTAACCGGTACTCTACCCGCCAGTGGTGCTACTATCATTAAAGGGCCAAACTCATCCAATAACAAGACCACAACATCCAAGAAGCTCCTGGTCTGTGCGCCTAGCAATGCGGCCGTAGATGAGTTAGTTCTGCGTTTGAAGGGAGGCGTCAGATCTATGAATGGGGCTTTTCACAAGATCAATGTTTTGCGGCTTGGCCGGACTGACGCTATCAACTCTGCGGTGAAAGACGTGACTCTCGACGAGCTTGTCAAGGCTAAAGTTGAAGGCACTGCCAATCAGAACGGTAAGCCAACTGCTAGGGACCTCATGCACCAAGAAGCTGGTCAGATCAAAGCCGATTTGGCGGAACTCCGACCTCAGCTAGAGGCAGTTAGAGGTTCTGGTGACCACGCACGGTACAATCAACTGCAGCGAAGGTATGACGAGCTCAGGCGTCAACAGCTCCATATTGGTGCCAAAATAGACGCGGACAAGGACAGTGGGAATACTGCTGCTCGTGAGAACGAAATCCGGCGTCGTCAAATCCAACAGGAGATTCTCGACTCAGCACAGGTTCTCTGCGCAACCCTAAGCGGTAGTGGTCATGAGATGTTCCGAAACTTATCGGTAGAATTTGAAACCGTGATTATCGACGAGGCAGCCCAGTGTGTCGAACTTAGCTGCCTGATCCCCTTGAAGTATGGCTGTTCTAAGTGTATTCTGGTTGGTGACCCAAAGCAGTTGCCTCCAACAGTGCTTTCACAATCAGCGGCACGCTATGGATATGACCAGAGTCTTTTTGTTCGCATGCAACAAAACCACCCGGATGATGTCCACCTGCTCGACACGCAATACCGAATGCATCCCGAGATTAGCTTGTTCCCTAGTCAAGAATTCTACGAAAAACGCCTCCTGGATGGTGACGATATGGCGAAACTTCGTCATCAACCTTGGCATCAGAGTGCCTTATTGGGCCCTTATCGGTTCTTCGATGTCAAAGGTGCTCAGGAGAGGGGCCATAGAGGTCAATCACTTGTGAATATGGAAGAACTGAAGGTTGCCATGCAAATATACGAACGATTCGCCACTGATTACCCTCAATTAGATATAAAGGGCAAGATCGGAATAATCACCCCTTACAAAGCCCAGTTGTTCGCCCTCCGTGAGCATTTCTCGCGCCGATATGGCGAAAACATCAAGGATGAAATCGAGTTCAACACGACGGACGCTTTCCAGGGTCGAGAATGCGAGATTATCATATTCTCTTGCGTCCGTGCTAGTCCTACGGGCGGTATTGGTTTCATGACCGACATTCGACGTATGAACGTCGGTCTTACTCGTGCAAAGTCTTCTCTTTGGATCCTTGGAGACTCTAGAGCCTTGGTACAGGGAGAGTTCTGGAATAAACTAATCGAAGATTCCAAAGCAAGAAATCGGTATACTTCAGGTGATGTTTTGTCTCTTCTACGGAAGCCCGGGGTGAAAGTCCCAACGCCGAACTTCGAAAGCCGTTCACCCTCAGCATCGACAGCTTCGCAGAATGCTCAAGTCGGAACGGAGGAAGCGGCCGGAGTCCACAGTAGGACACCTCAGGCCATCAAGAATGAAGACATAATCATGGAGGATGCTCCTCCCTCCCGCGGAGCATCGAACGGAACCAAGACACCTCAACTACCTCAGACGTACACGGTTGTCAGTCACCATAATTCAGATATTCATTCAAAGACACCCTCATCAGCCTTTGGTGGAATCAATGAGCGTGGCGAGGCAGTAAGTGTCCCGTCAGCATCAGAACGACCTGTCATACACCATTCTGGGCAAAAAAGACCAAGGAACAACAGCGACGGAGGCAATGCGCAGAAGAAGGTTAGTCAATTAAACATGGCGAATACATACCAAATGGATCGGAATCACTAAATCTCGATGTAATAGGTTGCCAGCGGGTCAGCGCCTATCAAGTTGCCCCCTAGCGCCCCTCGCGCAATGCCGCAGGCCCAGGACCCTGCAGCGATGGCGGTGTTGAAAATGCAACCTCAACCTTCAGCCAACAGTCGGCCTCCTCCTCCTCCCCGGGCGCCCATGAATGCCCCCAGTGTACGTAATAAGCTTGTTGGCGTCAGGGGTTATAAAGCTAACCGCGTCTAGGGATCATCCACTAACCCACAGGCTCCGAGGCCACCACCGAAGAAGAAGCCTGCCGCAGATCCATTCATCAAGCGGAAGCCTAACAGACCTCGATAAGGTTTTGGGGAAGACTACCCTGGTGATGAACAGCATGTCTCTCGCGGTCGGACATAACAACGGTATCGCGACATGCTTCGGTTATAGCAATTCTCAGAACTACAGTGTACGGTGTTCGCATCATCTACGCGCTGCTCGAGTTCTTGGACAGACATGTCCTCTCATGCACCGATGGTGCTTTAGGTGTAGGAATTAGAAGGAGAAGACCGGCCGGTACTGCATCGGCAGGTCCTTTGGCGTTTGTAAGGAGTGTAGAATTAATGTGCCATGCAGAAACGTACAGTGAGGAGTTGATTTTTCCAGGCCAGGGTATTCTCGGAGATCAAATGACTATTCTTCCTCGATACCCGGTCTACGATTTCCTACTTTAGGTACTGCTTCTTGTTTTCAGAAGCTCGCAAAGGGTGGAAAAGTCATTGTATTGTGCATTTGGTCGAGATAAGAACGGATAGATAGATACGATGCGAGGTGCTCTGGTAGAGACTTACCTCCACAGACGAGCAACCACGAGTTCGTAGAACATAATCATAATGAGCCCGATGAAGAGAGGGCTATGTGCTGGTAAGTAGCAGACATAGTCGGTCTTTGTGATTGATGCTCCCTGGGGTGCATCGAAACCGTCGATGTTATTCTCATGTGATATGCTCCCCTGGTTGTCGTTCTTTTCTGGATCAATCTTGTCTAAAGAGAACAAAAACCACTTACTCTCACAACTTCACGGTTTCCTAGACTGACGTTCCTACTTCAACCCGAATACCCTGGGCTAGCACGCCGACGGCATGCTATGCTGGTCTCTCTTCTTTTCCAACGTATAATTGCACCCGTCAATGTATGCAAAATAACCGGCCCCCGTTAGCGGCGCTTATGCCGATATGGGACGGACGGCCTTGCGGTGTATATATAGTGTACCTATTTATATGTTCCCCCTATCCACGGCTTCCGAGATCGTTATACACTAGATGGAGAGGTATCAAGGCGGGGTGGTCCGTCCGTCCGTCTGGTGGGGTTTGTCTATATGTATGTAGCCGGAGGTTTTTTTTTTTTTTTCACTTTGGCTGTAGGTGCCTATACCTAGGTACTTACACGACGGGGTAGGAGTACCTAGTATGGGCTGTTAGGACGAGATGTGATGGACGGTTATCTAGTGTACCTAGGATCCAGATATACTTCCTTCCTACGAGGCATAAAAAAGAGAGGAGAGGAGAGGAGAATAAAATTACCGGATTAGGTACTGGTTAGTATCTAGGTTAGAGCCTGCACGCTAGGTACCTGTCTATTGAGGTATTCGTGGTGCCGGTTCATCATCTTTCGAGGCCGCGGTGTATCTGGGATTTGGTGGGGAGGATGTGTGCGCGCAGGCGCAGGTCTAGTAGGGCGTGGGCTACACCGGTGGTGATGTTCGCCGGGGGGAAGCATGCCGGGCTCGAGTGGATTGGGTGGTTGATTTGGGGAGAATGGGGTTTCCAGAAGGACCAGAATTGGTGTGTATTATTGGGCGGAATCAGCACACATACAGTATTGCGTGAGGGAAAGTAACATGATGTCTGAGGGATGGAGGTGGAGGGGAAGGGGATGTAAAAAGAGAGTGTGTGTCGAGTATACCTAGAAGTGATTTATACCTACCTTTTTGGCCATATTAAAAGGATTGGAAAAGAACGTTTATGGTCGTATTGTAAATATTAGTTTTGGAATCAAACCTAGAGAAAGCATTCCGTATATTTACATACATGCATGCATACCCGTCATAACATATGCGTATTGATTCCTTCTCGTCACGATAAAACCGTAAGTTTATTCTATCGACTTCATGGCAGCTCAGACAACTTCACATACTGATTATGAGGATAGAGGAATGAACCACCACCACCTGCACCAACCAGCAAGGGGTCAATGGACACAACAACCGGTCTCTCCGTTCAGATTATTATTATTTATATACCTTACTAACTACCTACCTAGGTACACAGCCAAAAATCCATTAAAGGAAAAGAAAAATAAAAAAAATAAAAATGTTCTGGACTCGCGGGGAATTGAACCCCGGACCTCTTCCAAGTTGGGAAAGTACAGATTGATGAAAGGGTCGCGCCCGCTCAAAATCCATGCTAAGGAAGAATCATACCACTAGACCACAAGCCCTGTTTTATTTCGGTGTGACCAAGCTTGGCTCCGTTGTCAGACGAATCAGCTTACTCGGTAGATGGAAGTTAGGTTTGTTATTACGGTATGTATGTATATGTAGAATTTGGGAAGATTTTTTTTTTTTTTTTTTTTACTTTGTGTGTTCTTGATTGCCTTAGTTCGGGGTCCATGTGGAGTGCATGGGGAGTGTGGATCTTGTCGGGTCGTGATTAGTAGTTGCATTTGGTCCAAAGGGGGGGACCCTAAGCTAGGGATTTTTTTTCTTTTCTCCTCTACCCCCCTATTGTGTTGGTACCGTACCTAGTACCTAGGTATTTCTTCCTTTTCCGCTCTGACCAATGGGACTGATAGAGAGGTAAGTATCTGTGGTTCGTGGGGGAGACTGGCTAGCAACTTACACGGCTTATGATGCAGCCGGTTACAATGGTACATAGCAGGTGGTAAGAAATTTAACACGACTCAGGCGTGCTTAGTACCTAGTAGGTAATATAATAGGTAACTAGATTGCCTAGACGGCGTGCATTGCTTTGCTGCTCATGAGTGGGATTGAAAATCGGGTTGGTTATAATTACAGTCTACATGTAACCTAGGAGAAATGCCATCTACCTATCCCAACACGTATTGGGGTCCAGGCTGGGTAGTCCTTCACAGCGCAAATTTATACTTCTTCTTTTATGGACGGAGCAGTATTGGCGGGTAAAAGTAGTAGAGTCATGTCGCAGTAGTGCTACGTAGAATCTATTTCATTCGGTATAGTATAGGTAGATAATATATCTCCTTCATTCAAGCTACGGTTATGTAGCGAGTGTTTCTAGATAAGCGCGAGTTTACTAATACTCGTAATATTAGGAGAGGGATCTTTCGTATGAGAAGTAAGATTTCTCTAGCCCATATTCATGGCCATCATGTTTATCAAGGGGAGTATAAGAGGCGCCCAGATCCACAGAATACCGTCGACTTAGGTGTTGATTCGATACATTACTGGCCAGAGCATAACAAATTCTTAACAAGTCAAAGTAGGGAGATTATCGTTAAATGGTAGAATTCAATCATATATAAACTCCCAATAGCCAAAATGCAATGCTCTATAATATTTGCAGATATCCTTCCTAACGGAATATTCAAGCCTTAAGCAGATCAGAGTCCCATCAACTATGTACCATATAGCCATGATCTACATTTTCGCCAGTAGCCAAATAAAAGACATGATAGAACTACGTTATTAGTCCCATACGTATTTCCTGGTTTGAATGAGGATATCAAAAGAGGAGGCCAGAAAAGAAAAGCAATACCCCCAGACTAGTCAAAAGTGATGGAAAAGGGGGGACGATAATGAGGAGGCTAAATTTTGATAAAATAAATAAATAAAAAAGCTAGAACCGCGCAAAAGCTTTGCAGATATTATCAAACTCCTCACGCTCTCCAGATTCTTCCTCCTCGTCTCCATCTGTATCCCCTTCATCCGTATCCCCGTGGCGGTACTCCCGCTCACTCTCGCTCTCACTCCCACTCTTTCCCCTGCGCCGCGGCAGGTCCTGGATCATCGGGGAGATAATACCGGGACGGGCGGGCCCCGCGCCGCTGATCTCCCCCTCGTCTTCTTCTTCTTCTTCTTCCCCTTCTTCGTGGTCGCTATGCCGGGGGCGAAAAGGCCGCCAGGTGCTGGGCTCCTCCTGGCCCGCGCGCGGTCTCCTGTCGAACCACCGCTGCTCGATCTCTTCGCGTAGCGGGTTCTCCTGCTCATGCGCGTCTCCGGCGATGATGGGCTGGTCTGCTTGTCGTGTGCTGTTGCCCCGCGCCTGTGGCGCGCGTTGCTGGTGGTGGTGGTGGTGGTCTCCGAGCTGCAGGCTCGTCGGCCTGTGTCTGGTGCGCCGCGGCTCGCGCCCGTGGAAGCTCTGCGAGCGGTTCGCATCGAAGAGGTTGATGAGGTCGGGGACGGAGCGTATGTTGCTCGACGAGGCGTCGGCTGGTGGTGGTGGTTGGTCCTTCTGCCGCGGCCGCGGCCGTGGTCGCGGTCGTGTGGACGACGAAGCAGCACCCGGCGGGCACGCGAAGTGGCCCTCCCGCTGAAGGGCGTGCTGCTCCTCTAGACGGCGGTTGATGTTCTCCAGGAACGGCCCCACGGAGCGCACCAGGTACTCGACGTGGCGCTCGAGCCGCCGCTGCCGCTTCTCCATGTCGTAGATGTATGTCTCCTTCAGGCTCTCGTAGCGGTTGAGTAACTGCTGGTGCGATAGGTTCTCACACGCTTCCCGCCGCTCCGCTAGTGTCTTTGCTATATGCCGCGCCTTGGGCGTCGGCTTCCGCTCGTGCCCGCGTTCGAACTCCCTCTTCTCGGCTTTCCGGTAAGAGGAGCTCCGGGCAGGGATGCAGCTATGGGGTAAGAAGGAGCAGTTCCGTGGAGGCAGTAGTCGCCCAATGCTAGCTAATGGCGTGTCTGTGTGCTTTTCCTTCTGTTTACCGAGAACTGCTGTAGGCGTCGTATCCGGCATGGTTGGCTTCATCCCAGGCATAGCATTATTCGGTGCAATACCTGGTCTTTTACTATTCGGCCTTAGTCTATCATGCAACAATGGAGGGCTTCTTATGTCATTTTCAGTTATGTCCTTAGCTTCCCGCTCATCTGTGATTGGAGTCCGATATTCATCCATATCTTCTGAATTGCTCTCGTCTATATGGTCTTCGTCACTTTTCGTCTCTTTGGGTGGTGGTGGTGATGATGGCTGTAGGGATATCTCGGGTAGGTCGGTCTGTACAGAGCGACTGACTCTCCGCGAAGAGGGGGGTGACGGGAAATTGAAGTCCAAGGGAGAGGCGATGTGATACCGCGGTGCTGATGCGACCACAATGGGTATGGTGTGATACATTCTGGCCGTTTCCGCCTTCAGAAGTTTAGGCGATGACTCGGTCGTAAGTAAACTCTCGGCAAAGGACCCCCTCGGCAGAAAGTTGTCATTGATCTCGCTAAGGTTCATAATACCGCTTGCTGACATACGCCGGTTATTATTAATAGGAGTTTCCCCCCGTTGTTCGCCTCGGGTGCTCGTCTTTGCCTTCTTACTTGAACTTCGTGAGGGCAATATTAGCTTGATCGCCGGGTTGGTTGAAGATATAATCATCGGGGTTGATGCACCGCTCCCTCTACTTGATTCACCTTTAGGAGAACCCTCATATTCTGTTTGCTCGGTCATCCTTCGTGGTAAATCCATCGATTTACTACGCCTCTCCGTTCTCTCGCCTTGTGGCTCCTCCACCGTCTGGACAACATTCTTAACATCTGAAGCATCCGGTTCGGATCGTTTGACTGTTGCTATCCGTTCTTCTTCTGGTTGAGTTGGATCTATGATTCGTGATTCGTTTCCATATCGGCCTTGGCTACTATCATTCGGATGGCCTCCTATGACCTGATGCGATTGTTTGTTTTGTAGACTTTGTGGTCCTGGCGGTTGTGCCATATAGGTTGATTGAGACTCTGTGGGACCAGTGTTCGAGGCAGTCCGTTCTATGCAAGGCGATGTCCCTGGGGATAGTGACGATGGCGACTCTCTATCTTCCGCAACGGGTTTAAGAAATGTAATAGGTCGGTCTAAAGATGCTTTCCGACCAAACTTTGGCAGAGCTTCTCGGTTGGCAGGTGTCTTTTCCTTACTATTTGGTTTGTTATTTAGAGAAGAGTCCGATACCTGGTATGAGTGTTCGACTGGTATAGAAATTGCAATGTAACGATGTCCACCGGTGGTTCTAGCAGCAACTGCAGAATCAGGTAGTTTAATGGTAGGTGGGCTAGACTTCTTTGGCTTCCGCACCTTTCGAAAGAGTCTGAATTTGCGTCGTTTTTCGTCTTCTGGTGGACTAAAACTGTCTGGTATGGACATAAAGTTCTCTGGAGGTGGCGTTCTCCTAAGGAGCTGTATCATCTCTTCGAAACCTTCATCATCATGCCTATTCTTTCGGAGTTGTCCGAAGTTCTCTCCTGTAGTAACATCGGGATGTCGACGGAGTCCATCAAGACGCAATGGTGGCATTCCTTCGCCAAAGGACCCAGGAACAATGGTGTCTGGTCGCATATCTGGTTATTGGTCATGGAATTGATTTAGTTGATAGGGGTACAAAATGTACTTAAATCTCTAGTTAGGGGTTGCGTGTCTATGTTGTTATTCCTCCTCCCATCTCGATGTCAGTTGGGCCATTGATGTCCCGAGCATCGCGTAAGCGTTAGGTGAATAATTATTACAAATGACCATTCTAAACCTTGTCCTGACTCTTTACCGCTGAATCGTGTGAATATTTGATACAATATCACCACATCTAGCTTTCTCTGTACAGCCTAGTGAAGGGATAATCAAAGAAGTCATATCAGAACAGGCATCAACCCGTTTAAGGATATTTCTATCTCTGCATAATGATCATGTCAGAAGAACTGTATATTTGTCAGAAAGGTATCATACATAAAATCAGGCACATCTGGAGGACATATCCACCACTCGAGCACTCAGTAGGTATCCCCTCTACATATTACGATAGCATACCTTCCGAAGAAATATGACTCTTAATAGAACGGGGGTCCCTAAAGATATTTCTTCAGCGAAACAGAGAGTGGCTATGGATAATGTTAAAATGGGATTAGATAAAATCACCTTAATATTCCAACATAGAGCTCTAATAACATCGTATCGTCTTCAGATATGGTAAATAGAGGCAAAGCTTCAAGCTATGTGACGTACAGACAAGCAGCTAATGACTGGATTCACAGGGATGGGCTTGACAGTTCGACCTACAGCTTCCCTCATCATTACAAAAGACAAGAAGCTCACAAGACCCGACTACATCCTTTGACATGGAAATCCCTACCTCAGTAGAAAGCTCGAGGTGCCAAGACTAGGATTAAAAATGCAGCTTACACCAATCTGAAGCTACGACCATGCATCATTACATACCCAACGACGAGTTTGTAACAGGTCTGTACGTTAAACCCACGCTGAAAAGGGGTTCCATAA